CCTTTTGTAGACACCTGACTGCAGTGAAAGTCTTTCATTTGCTGATCGACTGTTAAATACGCTGTTTACCATACTTTTAAAGTATAAAAAAACTTTAAACAAATACCTGTAAACAGCAGAAATGTCAATTAAGAAAAACTTTTATCAACCAAGGTTTACACAGGAAAGACATTGCCAAAGCGACTGTGGTTTTTTTCCATTTTCATTTTATTTCTCTTTAACAAAATTCTCAACTTACATCTAATATGAAACATTTTTTTTTTCATATAAAAACTATGATATATTAGTCCGCATACAATAAATCACCACTAATCTTTAGTGGACAGTTAGACTGTAATCGACTTCAGTGGATTATGCATTTATCTGGGACAAGCAACGCAAACACTCCAACAGAAATCTGATCATAGACGTTTACACATTTATGCCAATTAAATTAGCACACAAAATCGCAAACTTTATTCAATGCATCTCCGTTATGAACTCCGTTATATATACGTTCGCCATTGTTTCGAATAATTAACTGGCATGATCCAGAATATATAAAACCAAACGACAGACACTGATTTATCCCATACTCTATAGCATCCGCCTAAAAAGAAAATGTGTTTTTCAACTGTTTACACTGCTTTTAATTAAGATTTTCTTTTCCATTTTGCAAAAAAACCAGTGTTAAAAGTATCATTCTTATAAGAGAGGACTTTGAACAGCAAACGTATAATTTACTGTTTTCAAAAGGTGCTACTGCTCTAGCTTGAGAAGTAAAATAATGAAAAAAGTTCACGTACCAGCGTTGCAATACAGTTCCTTAACCGATATACCATTGGTGTCTTTATTACTTTTTAATTTATAAAGCTTATTTTCTTTTTTTTTTCATGAATGATATTTACGTTCATTGTACATTGAACAATGTTTTCAGTCATAAAAAAGCTACATTTTGTGTTACTAAAAATACGTCTTTGCATCTTCGAATTTTTTAACGGCCAAAACATAAAAACTGATAACAATCCTGCGAACTATATTCACACTGAAACTTTATTTGAGTCATAAAAAACTAAGTGTACAAAAATAGAAACTTGGCTTTCTCAAAGACTCAAGTTCTGTTAAAAAGAGTCTAATTTATATAACTGCTAAATATCTTGCTTTTTTTGAATATCCACTAGTGCAGCCACGTTTGCTAACTTTGACCCTCAGTTCTTATAATATTAACAAGTACTGTTACAGTATACTTACCAATTCCCAAGTCATATGATCAAGAACAAATTGGCTGAATATAAAGCATATTTGACAGTAGATCACATTTTTCTGCGATGGACCTAAAATAGTAGACGTGAAAAATGTGCTCTTAAAACAGTCTCTTTCCTTGTTTTCCTAGTTTTAGCATTTTCATAGGTATATTTTCCGTTAATTTTCACTTAAAAAGTGTTTCATAAAACATTAACAGCAAAAAAAACATTAAAGGACAACATTTTATCAAAGTACTTTAAAGATTACATAGGTTTAACCGTCACTTTTCAATAATTAAAGTGATTTCCCTATTAATTTAAACAAGTGTAAAAG